CAACATGATTAATTGACAGCTCCTTTCTCCTTGTCAACTAAGCTTCTTCACTCTCCACTCCATAATATCAACTTCATCTCCACTCCATAATATCAATTTCATCGTACACAATTAGAAAGAACAAATTAGACATGCCTCCACAAACATAAAGAAGATTAGTTGTTTAAGAAAGATATATTGTTTAGAATATTAAATATACCGAAAAAATTAATTATATGAGTGTGTGCGGGTACCCATGGGTCAGGTTTGCCTAAACCCAAACCCAACCCGATGATGGTGTAGCGGGTTTAAGCCCGAACCCGGTCCAAAACCCGTCAACACGGGTTTTACCCGCATTGACCGGGTTGGGTCGGATAGGGTACCCGTGGGTTCGGGTTTGTTGCCATCCCTAGGGACAAGGGATCAGAAAAAGAGATGAAAAGTGGATTTGGGCTACTGCCGGTCATCAAGGATGTCGGTAAAGTGTAGAGAGAAGGTAGACGGATTTTGGATTATAGAGAGAAAACCAAAGAATTTTTGCGAAACCGAATCCGAATGTTAACTTAAAGTTCATCCATAGCAACTAGATACCAAGCATTTAAGGAGAAGTCTCGGGAATGAACCGTGTTGAACAAAACGTTAGGGGCTCAGGGCCGAGCATTTAAGAACAAGCAACTCCTTGAAAACTGTCGGGCGAGCTACCAAAGACCGCCAACTTGAGATGTAGGTGTTAGGTAGACCTTGGAGATGGGATCGACGATGGAACGTCGCCGGAAGTGCTTTTGCAGAGTTCGTCTGAGCCACAAATAGCAAACCGGCTGTGTAAAGACAGAATTTTCGTCGGTTTAGGTAGTTGGGTTTTGGACAGGTCTGATGAATCAACAGGTTTAGTACAAATTAAATAAAATCGGTTCATGCAGGGATGGCAACGGGTTGGGTCGGTGATGGTAGTGCATATCCGTTACCATATTCAAAGTAGTTCGAGTTTAATCCATACCCACATAAGAAACGGGTAGAAAATCAAAATCATGCTCATACCCGTTCGGATTTCGGGTACTAACGGTTGTCCATAGGTAATAGTTTCTCTTTATAACTCATCCATTATGTTAATATTCACATGTATTCTCACATAACGTAAGACGAAAAGTATGACAAGAAAATTCATTAAAACAACACAATTTCATAAAAATATTATATTTATATATGCTAAATGTAAAATGTGTTAGAGAAAAATAGTGATTATTTCTTGACAAAATACATATGCATGTGTATATCGGGCGGGTTCGAGTTGAATAGTGAGAAAACTATGTCCATCCATTACCCACAATATTCGGATTCGAGTTTTATCCGTACCCGCTAAAAGTTCTTCGGATTCAGATATAACCCTACCGACAGGGGCGGACCCAAGTTAGTCTAAGGGTTATCAATTGACAACCCTTGGATCCAATTTGTGACAAAAAACATTTGTAAAATTTTGTTTTAGTGGTGATAGTATTGAGATACTATACTATTTGACAACCCTTAGTGATTTTGGTCTATCGTTGAATACCCTTAATAAAGTTTCTGGGTCCGCCATTACCTACCGACAAGGTCGAATTTGGATGGATATTGATGGTTACGGATAATTTTGCAATTCATGTCACATAATAGTCCCCGTTAACCAATCACAAGTCTCGTGCCACCTATGCCGCATATTGTATAGAGGCACTGTAATATTGGTCCAGAAGACAGGCTTCATTTGGACCTTGGGCCGAGCTAAGGCTTGTCCTGATTTTGACCCTGGATTCAAACAAAGCCCACTATCAGCTCGGCCCCAAGTCGAAATGAATCTCATTTTCGGTTCGGCCCTGGTCCAAATGAAACTCACCTGAGGTCCGACAAATTTGTGGCCGGATTCTTCGTCGTCTACTTTTGTCTCTCTCCCTCTCCTTTCTCACCCCAATTTCTTCCCAAAACCCAAAGTGAATCCGCCCAGAAAATTCCCAGCAAATCCCCAACAAACAATACCAACGCCCTAATTCTTCTCATCATCTTCTTCATCAATCATGACGCTTCCTTCAACATTCTCAATCACAACTCCAACCACTAAACCAAGAATTCAAAATTCAAAAAAAATCAATCGTCGGTGTCGTCCTTCACCATTCTCGTGGGCACAAACAAAGAGTTCCAATCTCCGACGGTAGTAAGGTCGAGATGAGATTGTAACGACGATAAGCAAATCGAAATTCTATAGTGGGTAGAGGGGCCAGATCGGGGCATGTAACGACGATCTCAGCAAGGGTTTCACCATAAACGGAAACCTGTTTTTCGAGATCGACGGCAACAGGAGTGCTGCGCTGGGAGCAGCAGACACCACGAACGCCGACCCGCCATCGCCAAATCCATCTTCAACGTCTTGGGATCATCGTCGCACTTGGATTTCGAAGGAAGCGTGCTCAGCCCTTAATTGAGAAATCGAGAGTCGCCGTGCTCACGCTGATCTCAAACTTTCCCCTTTCTACCTCATCAAAGCAACCTCAATTGCCAGAACCTTCTAACTCCCTCATCCGCGAAATCGATAAATTGGGAAATCGGGAGTGGCCGTTGAATTGGGAATCGCCGTCCACTGTCACCAGTGATGACGACGAGGGCGCCTCTGTGTTCACTCCATACCCCTGGCGGAAGAGATATGAAGGGAAGCCGGAAAACAAAACAAAAAGGATAAATTGGGGTTCGGTTAGCCTGACTACCCCTAAAGGGGTAGTGATTTTTGACACCCCCTTTATGATTGGCCAATTTTATTTCCAATCATTGGCATGTATTAATTAAACTGATTTTTTTATTTTTTTTAATCTTGTAATTTCGGGTCTCTCACCACATTGGAAAAGAGAAAGAATCTGGGGAAAAACGAAATCACCCCCATTAATTACATAATTAATTTCTCTCACTGGTACATTAATTACACGTACCACTCCACTGGTACACGTACCACTCCACTGGTACACGTACCACTCCACTGGTGCGAGCAATCCACAAGGTAGATTAGAGTGAGAACAATACCAGTGCAATGATATTTTTCATAACAATGATAAACAATAACGGAGCAACAATGCAGTACCACTTCAATGATACAAATACCACTCCACTGGTACACGTACCAATCCAGTGGTACACGTACCACTCCACTGGTACACGTATCACTCCACTGGTACACGTACCACTCCACTGGTACGTTTCCTCTGCCGCCGTCTTCCATATGCTCGACGTTAGAGACGAAATCGTCCAGATCATCTTGATGATTTCCGACCGTGTGAAGTGATGAAGTCGATGTCGCATGAGAGGAGATTCGAGGGGAACGGAGGGACGGGAGAGGGTCAGCGGAAAGGGAGGCAACGATAAGTTGGGCCACTGATGGAAGTTGGCCGACGGAGGGTGGACCGCCGGAGGGAGGGTTTGCTGGACTGAGAAGACGCCGGGAGAGGGTTCTGGTGGAAAGAAATTTGAAAGGAAGAGAAGGGGAGATGAAAGATTGTTGTTTCCCGTGTATCATTATTATGGGAACTTTCCCATGCATCATTATTATGAGAATTTTCCCAATAAAGCAATAATAATGACAACTTCCCAATAAAACAATAATCATTAATACTTACCCAAAGATGAAGGACACGTGGATAGCTGCAGGAGGGGGTGTCAAAAACCCAACCCCTTTTGGGGTAGTCATAGTATCCTGCCCCGATAAATTGGGACGGAGACGGAGAGGAAATGGTTTATTATTATTTATATTGTATTTAATTATTTATTTTTAATTTAAAATTATGACGTGGCTGCTGACAAGGCATCTATGTGTCCTCCACGTTTTTACCACGTCGTCAATAGTCAATGTAGTTTTTACCACCGTCTGGTCAATTGTTATCTCTAAACGTCAACGAAATTGTCATGACATAAATGACACACAACTATCATACTTGGGATATTTTTCAGTATTTAATAGTTTGAGTGGGATACAAGTGGCGTTTTTTTTGACAAACAGGGTGTTGTAATGGGATATGCCACGATCCATACCATACCGGATCGCACCGGACTAAGGCGACGCTTGGACCAGATCGCACTGAGTCGAGTGTAATATGATCCGGTCTTCGATCCCACCAATTTTATAAAATTGAAAAAAAATAGACTGAAGTGACATTTGGACCCAACGCACTATTGGTTTGGTCCTTAGTCCATAAAAGTTTCTTACTATTGGACTACATTTCTCCTTAGTTTAGTCTGATCCGCTCCATTTCAATTTCACACCCCTGGCAGGCATCTCTGTGAAGACCACTTTTTGTGACATAAGTATAAGGGGTAAATTGCATGATTGGTCATTCAGATTACAAAAAACGTTCATAATTGGTCACTAAAAATATTTAATTCCATTTGTGGTCACTAAAATTAGCTAAATAGTTCAAATTTGGTCACTCTCCGTCCAACTCCGTTAATGTTTGCTTACATGGCAGTCTACTCTTATGGTTGACCGTTAAATGAGTGACATGACAATTAAAAATTAATAAATAAATAAAATTTAAATTTTATATTTTCCATTACATTTTCAACTATTAAAAAAATACAATCCAACAAAATCTCACAAACCCTAACGGTCCTCCCCTGAATTTCCCACCGCGCCTCTCAATCTCTCTTCTCGCCGTCGCATTAGAGAGCTCCCTCCGATTCACCTCTCTCTCTCCTCTCACCTCGTAGTCGTCGTTCCCTCTTTCGCCTTCAAGATCGCTGCCAGAGAAGGTGTGGCGCAGGGGCGAGTTGCGATGACGGAGTCGGTGAGAGCGGCTGAAGTGGTGACGGTGATGGAGCGGTGAGAGCGGCTGAAACGATGGCGGTGAAGGAGGCTGACCATCGTTGGGGCTAGGCTCGTCCTCCCTCTAAGCTTGCTCTGGCTGCGAAACTCCTTCATCCCCTGCCGCGAATCGTGGGGTTAGGCGGACGACCTTCCTTGTAACAGAGCCGCTGCGAGTTGTATTCCCTCTCCCAATCTTCCGTCAATCGGACTAGGTAAGCTCCGACAGCGATTTCGGCGAGAAAGATGATAAAATTACGAGGATGACCTTCGGCACGGTGCCTAATTTTTCGCCGCCTTGCTCAGCTGGGGAGAGACGGGGAGAAGGCGGAGATCCGGCGGCGGGGTTTCTTCTTCCTCTGTTTTGCCGAAGCTCCACCCGAGGATGTACTGCGTGCTCGTGAGGGTGCTCATCGAGGACGAGAACCCCACGTACCTTGATCTGAGAAGGTAGGTGGAGAGATTGAGAGGCGGGTTCGGTCACGGTGATGTTCATCCTCTTCTGTTCGTCGTCGTACTGGATCCAAACCTGCATCCGGTCGCCGGAGAGTAGGCGAAGGGTTCGGTTGACTTGAAGAGGCCCAGGTACAGGCTGGCGACGGCCTGGGTGAAATCGTTGGTGGGCGAGTTGACGAAGACGATGTGGTGGCAACCCGCGTCGGCCAATTCCGGGACCAAGGAGAGCGACTCGAAGGGTATGGAGGAATTGGGTCAGAATTCGAAGTGGTGGTGGTGGAAAGAGCCGATTGGTGAGATGGAGCAGGCCGTCGAGAAGGATTGTCGAACATTAGGCGGGCCTCCGTGAATTCATTGTAGGTGAAGCTTGGGAGGGCCGCAAGGAGTCCGGATCTGGTGACTAAGGGGGGTCTTAGTCACTTGACTAAGCCTCCCTCAGCCCTTGGATTGATCTGATGGTCCAGATAACTCAATCAATTATTATTAAATAAGAAGGGTAGTTTTGGTATTATCAATAATTTATTAACTCCTATTTTTTAGTTTTGTTTTATTTATTATTGAATTCTTTTTTCCTCTGCAACACGTCTCCTTACTTTCCCTTTTTTGTGATGTAGAGAGAGAGAGAGCCATGGCGAAGGAAACAGATCGCAACGCCGGCGGATGAGAGAGAGAAAGTCGACGATCTCGACGGCGCCGACGACGGTGGAGAGAGGGAAAGGAGATCGTCGATTGCGCCGTCTCGTCGCGGCATCCGTGCAAGGACTTCCCGTTCGCGGGACTCGTGACGCTGATCGGCTGCCTCCTCGCTCTCTTCGTCGACATCACCGCCACCGAGCACGTCGACCACGGCCACGGAGGAGGGGGAGGAGAGTACGAGCCTGTCGCCGGCTACGGGGGGAGGAGATTTGGGGAAGCAATCGAGGGGGCTATTGAGGATGGAATAGGGGGAGGGGGAGGAGGAGGAATCGAGGGGGGAGAGGGAGGAGGAGGAGGAATTGATGGCGAAGGTGAAACAGAGATTGGTGTCAGTATGGTTTGTATAGTTTGTAATATTAATTTGTATACTTTATATGTATTGATTTGTGCTGCAAATCACGTCGCTTTGTATTGTAAGTACTAATAATTTGTATACTTTATATGTATTGATTTGTGATGCAAAAAACATTACAAACATGGTTGACAAATATATGTTCGCATCTACCCAATTTAACCCAACGTCATCCTCAAAAAAGAGTATTATTTGTATTTGAGACAAAATATATTCGGACCCAATGTTAATTTCCTGGTATTTTACTAACTTAATTATTTATATATTTTTGCACGATGAAGAGGTGAGGGGACCAATATTAGAGAGAGAAAGAAGTGACGTCTCTGAGAGGAAGATAGGGTTGAGAGAGTTGCTAGATTCTTCTGTCTGTCCAGTCTTTTCACATTTAAACTCTAAAAAAGGTTAAGCTAAAAAAAAAAAGGTTTACCATTTACTTTGTTTTTTTACTTTTGCTTGTGGAATCCCATGTCGTCCTTTCTCGGTTATGCTCCGCCACCGCTCTCTTTGATTCCAATTGTACGACGACATAAGATGAAATAAGGGAAAAGTGATAATAATAATAATAAAATACTCTATTTGTTCGATTTTCTTTGGTCTTCTTTCCATCATTTTAGCACATTCAGGTTTTATTTAGGCGTGGTTGATTTACGGCGTGGATTCACTGAATTCGTAAATTTTATAGAAAATTTTGTTTTTTTGTTAGTTTTTTATTGTGAATTTTAATTTTAAATATTTCAAATCTCTAAAATCTACATATATAAAATCTCTCATAATGAAAGAGATTTTGTATTTTGATTCGTGAGATTTTTTTTTCTCCTACTTTTCATCTTCATTTCATTTATTTTGTCACATTAAATATGTTTGTCAATGTGTCTCGAACCACTCTAATTTTTTTTAAGGATAAACATGTTATTTATAAAATTATTTTTTTATTCTTAATGAATGTTAACAATCACAGTTATCAAACAATAAATATTTTTAAATCTATTTTCGACAATCAGAAGAGTTAGAATCTTTAGATTATTAACAATTTATGAATTTAAACTCATATTCTCCAAACGAGCCTTTAGTTAAAAATTAGTGATACAATCCAACGCTTGTGTGGGATGTTAGTTTTCCCCCCTCGACAATGGGGTTATTCTTACTTCTTATAAGAGGTTGTGTTGGATGATGAGTTTTGAAACAATGGGATTTTGACCACAATATCTTAGCTTAAAATTTTCACGTGTGAAATTTCACCAAATATTTTGTCTGTTTTTATGGATATGGGTTATCAATGAAAAAAAAAGTAAGTATAATCTTTTGCTCTAGCTTCCTCTTCTTCTTTCTCTTGAGCTTAGAATTTATTGAGTAAAATTGTTTCAAGAAAGACCTTAATCATTTTACTAATTCAATTATCTACAATGACCAATTTTCCAGGCTTAGTTAATTGAGTTGGATTGTCGAAAACAACAAATTGTTTCGAGAAATCCCACCGTTCGCAACAGAAGAGAGAGAGACACGAGGAGAAGACTACAAGAGAATCTAAACCACTCCTAAGGGACGAACCAAAGAGAGAGAGAGGGCGATCTAGAGTCATTCTTGGAGCTATTTTGGAGGATTCTTCACCATTGAAGCTCAAGAAACAAGTCTAGACAGGGAGATTGAAGATCTGGAAAGTTATACTGCAATCTCTCTCTTCTCTATGGAGTAACTTCCCTTCACTTAGGTTTTGAGGAACCCTAGTTCTATGTGTTAGGATCTTTCTTGTATGAAGTTTTGGATGCTATATTGTGTGATTATAATCGATTGAGGCATGATTTATTGAGTCAATTGAATCCTGATCAAATTCTCTTGATTTCAGCTTTAACCTATGATAGATAGAATCTGATTAGGTTAAAAGAGCTTCCTTGATTGATAGTAGTGAATTGGTTGTGTGAGAATCAATCAATTCATTGCTTTGTACTGGAATTCATTCCATGTAGTGGAGATCTGTGTGAATCGCCTTAGCAGTCTATTCCGGTGAAGGCTAGTCGCCGTTGGGTATTCAATCTAAGAGGGCTTGGTCAGCTTAAGAGATTCCAAGCTAATTTAGGATCTTCCGTAGTTTAATCAACAGTAAAACAACCAAAAGGAATTACAACTTAGACCTAATTGAGGAGCTAGGGGGAACCATACCTAAGTGAGTTCCCAACCTGTAATTAGTAGAGTAGTTAGTATAGTAGTTTAGTAAATCAATCCTTAATCTAGTTTGCTAGATAATGAACTGAAGCTGAGTAATAGTAACTCTAGAGACCCGTGGATTCGATATTTATTACTTCTGACACTATACTGCAATCCCTTTCATTGGTTACACTTGACCATTGTTAGGTGTTGTGTCGTAGCGTGTCAGTAGGCTTGGGAGGTGGTTCGGTTAACCGATAACCGACCCTTCGGTTACGGGTTATAACCAAACCTAAACGAAATCCACCCATAGCTTAAAGTAAAGAAGGAACTAGTCACTTTAGCCCAATCGTTAGATGATACTGGCGAGGTGACTCTCTTCTTCCTTTAGGATAGAACACAAACAAAGTAGAGAAGGAAGAACGAAACGCAGAAATAACATAATCAAGAACAAAGAGACAATGCAGAAAAGAAAAGTAAAGGTGGGACATGAAATTTTAACTAGGTTCCCCAATCTATGGGTCAGTCCTCGTCCTGGAGATAGCACTTGCTACGTTATGGGAGAGTTTTTTTTATTTGATTTTTACCTATGAAAATAAAACGAAATACAAAGAACACAAAGAAACTCAGATCCAATCCCAGACCTATCAACACCCTCAACTAATCAGAACCTGTTCCTCTGATTACTTGAGCCCCTTAGAAACCCAGAAACCTTGTACCGCTAATGTTCTAAGTAAATAACAAGAGGAAGATTGACAACTTTTCCCTACTTTTCTGAAATAGTCGTTGTACACCAGAAAAGGATGTTGAGCAGATTCAGACTAGGCCATCCTTTTTTTCTCCTCTGAATGAGCAACGGTACAACGAAAATATCAACCAATATGAGATCCACCGATTCGTCTCCTCCTTCTTCCATATTCTTCTTCTCCACCACCGTGCCACGTGATCGATCAAGCAGCGACCTGGGTGCGTACGACGCCGTCTCAGCCGGCCGACAGTTGACATAATATTCGATCGGTGGATCTCCATAGCTGGCAATATATATATATATATATATATATATATATATATATATATATATTGTCGCGGTTGAGATGGATGGGGATGATGGCAGCTTTAACGGCGTCGGTACTGCTGCTGCCTCTGTTGATGCCGCCGTTACCTCCGCCGCCGTTTCTCTTCCTCCTCGTTCCCGTCGTCATCATGTTGCTTCTGGTCTTCCTGGCCTTCTCTCCCACGGGACGACGGCGGTCTGCCTTGCCTCCGCCGCCGCGCAATAATAATGGATCCGGCGTCTGAAAAATCTGTTGACTTGGTATAACGTCACCCGCCGGGCTTCAAACTCGAATATCGTGATTATTATTAATACTATTATTATTATTATTATTATAATCATCAGTATAGATATGGGAGCTGCTTGAGTTTGTTTTCTTTTTGATGTTTTGATAATTTGTAGCTTTTATTTTGTTTCAATTTAGTATATATTATATAACTAGTGTTGTATCCGGCCCGTTGGCCGGTTTGTGGTCATTTGGGTATTTTTTTAGTTAAACGTAGGTGGTTCGATTTTTAGTATTGTGCACTGATGATACAAAAGAGTATTTAGATAGTTTATGTTTTTTAGTGCCATTAACTTTATAATTTTATTGAATTAGCATTTCATTTTATACATAACCATAAGAAGTTGAAGTTAGACAACGAATGAAATGAAAAGTTATATGGAATCTATATTCATGCCTTGAGACATTAAACATCACTAAATAAAAAAAATCAACAAAATTTTTTATCTTCGTTATATGTGAATAATTACCTTGCAAATGAAACTTTGAAAATTTTATTACTATTTTAATTTAAATATTTTTGATTGTCATCTATTGAATTAAAAAGAA